GGATGTGGGGAACCCACAGGGTGACAGTATGCTGTGTGTTGCCTCCTACCTGAGGTGTCTGTTATACATTGACGTGCTGAAACATCCCCTAAGAGCTCCTGGGATCTGCCCTACTCTCTCCTGCCTCATCCAGTTGCTTGGTGTTTAAAGGTGGCATAACTTAGAATTGTCTCAGTTTGTCTCTAGTTGCAAAGAAGCTCAATTGTTCCTTTTTTTTTTTTTGCTTTGTGTGACTTGAAATTCAAGGTATCCCATTAGCCTGGTATTTATGCTAACAGGCTAATAGGTTGTGAAATTGTTTTGAACCGGGGTCTTTCCAAGGGCAGGCTCCAGAGGTTCCTCACTGGAGGGCCCGCCCTGTGGGTGGGCTCCCACGAGGCCACCTGTATCTGGGTGATGGCAGATGGAACTTGGCTGAGCCTGCCCTTGGCATGGCCTGACTCCAGCTGGCAGGGCACAGGTTAGCAATAGTCCTGGCTGCACCAAGTTTTGGTTGGTTGGTATGCCAGGCAAGGTGACCTGGCCCCAAGTGAGAAGCATGAACTGCCAGCCGGGAAAAGCCCCAGTTCCCTTCACTTTAAAGGGAATGTCTTGTATGAGGCTTTTAATAGAGAGTTGATGAAAGAGAACAGCACGTTCACAGAGTTTTAAGCCGTGGATTGCCCACATTAAGCCATGCTATGTATTAACAATACCTCCTTGTAGTGCAATATTACTGAAAAGCTTCCTTGTTTAATTTAAAGTCTCTCAACAAGAGAAGGAATAGGGAGTGTTGCTGGGGGAGGGGTTGGAATCTAGAGCAGGGAGCTCGTTGTAATCCAAGGCATAACCTCAGAATATGATAAAGTCGAGCGTCTTCCCAGCCTCCCTAGGTCTTGGCTGCCATCTTGTTCGCAACATTTTCATCCCAATCTCTGGGAGAGGGCCTTCTAAAAAGAAGTCTGCAGCCACATACTGTGAATTAGTGTGCAAAGAGGATTCCCTTTGTCAATGTTCTGATGATATTTAGCTCTAATGGATTTTATTTATTTATTTATTTAGAGAGATTTTTGCTACAGGGCATGTGTACTCGCCAGAAAGATAGAGAGAGACAGAGAGATAGAAAGCGAGAAGTCACCCCCCGAGGGGGATAGCCATGCCGCAATCCCTTCTCCTCCATTCTCCTCTCAGGATCTTGGGTATGCACACACGCACACCCAGCGTGAGTTTAAGCCGCTGGGTCAGATACTGGAATCGTGATCGACTACATGGGAGTTCAACGACATAGCCATTATACCAACTGCTGGTCCCAGATTTTACTTTTTAAATTGAGTCTCTGTTCCAGAGTAGAAACTATACCTTATAACTGATTCATACTACCTTAAAGACTCTTTATAAGAGAACCAACTGCATAGTTAGGAGAGATACCTGACTAGGAAGTATGAAGGGTCTTTATTTCCACTTTATTTTGGCGCTCTTTTCTCAGGGGTTATATTGTGTGATTAAAGTGGAAAATATTCAATAGCATAAACTGCTCAGATGCATTTTCTCAGCTGTGTTTCTGGTTCCTTTGGAGACAAGAGTAATTAAATCATTTCTTGTCCTCTAGAGTGTTCTAAGAGAAGAAGGAGCTGAGGCAGCTGTGCAAGAAGCTTAATTGAAAAGGAAAGTGAAAGTGTACAGTAAGAATTGAAGACGTTAGGGAAGCAATGGCACAACTTAGGAGTACCTCAGCCTGGGATTTCTTGGCCCCACATCTAAACAAAGGGTATGGTCTCAAGATAAGAGCTATTTGCACAGGTATGTGACTGAGTTAAGTCTTGAGGCGTGGGAGAGCACAGAAAGGTGGGGAGGCTTCCGCCATCCTGCTCTGCCAGGACAAGTTACAATGAATGGGGCTTTCAGGACTGTCGGCTCGTCCACATTTTGGTGATGCTTCCACTGCTGCCCTTTCTCTCGATCCAGAGACTGGACGAAGCTGCTCTGACCCAAACCATCCTCTGTCTACCCTCAAGTCTTTATCTGGTGCTCTTTGGGCTCAGAACCTCCACCTCTGAGACCCTCAATGTGGGTAGGCCATCTTCCGTAAAACACTCTCACATTGAGAGGAAGGTTATTTAGAATACAAAGTTCAGGCTTCTGGTGCTTGATTTTAAAATGGTTTATATAACTGAGGACTTCTTTGCTTGCTTTGGGACAAAAATCTAGAGAATAAAGCCAATGAGTATAGGGCCAGTTATTCCCAAGAAAACTCATCCCTGTAGCTGGAGGAGTCCTCAGCTTCCTGGAGTCCTGCTTTGAGTGTGGTGGGCTCGTGTGTATGTTGGAGGAGTCTACTGTCACCACCAAGGATACTTGCTATTGCTTTTATTTAACTTCCCCAAATGCAGTCTAATGGACTGTTTCAGAGGGAAAGAAAGGGAGATACTTAAAGCCCAAGCGATAAGGACATAAATTTGCTCCTAGAGAGTCACTGGGAAGCTGAGGTGGGATCCCCATAAACACTGTTGTATTGGGGTAGGGAGATGCCAGATTGAGAATCGGGACCTCTACTCGTTCATAGGCATTCAGCTAGATGTCAGCCCTTGACGGTCTGGCCACCTAGGAAGGCTAACTGGTAGGAAGGATGCTCAACACGCATGAGCGATCTGCAACTCAGACAGCAAAGGCCGCATCGCTGTTTGCATGGGTCGAGAGAATCTAATCCCTACTGTGGACAGCACCTTAATATGCTAAAAGAAGATTACCTATTTTTAAAGCTGCCTGTGCATTTTGTTCTCATCTATTTGACAAATGGGGAGTTATTACTCTCAGGGTGGCAGGTACCGAGGCTGGCCCTGGAAAAAGATTGGCCCTTGTGGTCGGCCCTCTGAGTGGACTTCACAGAAACACTAGGCGTGCTTTATGTGGCCATATCAAAATATTGAGACAGGTTCTGGTAGTTTCTTTGATGAGCTTTTCCAGCTGCACACTGAGGGCAGGTCTAGAAGGAGTTGGTCCCTGTGACTGGTTTCATTTAGAGGGTTGAGAAGCCAAAGGGCTTTGGAGAACATCTCAGAGCATCTCTCTGAAAGGATATTTTGACCCAGAGTGGTCCCCGTTAGTGATTGCTTTTGCTTTACTGATGTGGCTTGAATGAGCTTTGGAGCCTTGCATTCCAGAAGTTTTTAAGTCCTGTTTTATCTGTTTACTTATTTGTTGGCTCTCAATCAAATGCTTGGGCTCTCTGGGGACCCAGGAAGGGGGGTTAGAAACATTCTGTAGAATGGGATCGAGGCACTGATGACACTGTTTTCTTGGTGAAATTCTGATTTGTTTAGTGTAGAAGATTTCAAAGGAATAACAGAAGTATACTGGTATTCTTCTTTTTTATTTTATTTTATTTCTTTCACTCAAAGCAGTAAAAGGCCTGGGCTGTTGAGATGGAGGACAGAGGCTTTTCTCCATGTCCTATCGTTGGAGTGTGTAACTCCTCTGGCGTCAAAATAGGTTCCTCCAAGAAGGATTGTTTATAGATCATTTATTTTTAACATGAATAGATGACATTTCTTACATAAACATTTTCTTGTACTAACCCTTAGTGAACTCTGGAAATGATGAAGATACATAACTAATCCGTTTAAATCAATCTTTTGAGAGCACTGTTACAAAAACAAGTAAAAATAAGAATTGTGCAAACTTCTGCCAGTATAGAGAAAGGGCAAGATGTTCTTTTTCCAAATCTGTGGGCTCGAGGTCTTTCAATGCGGACATTAGAAGGTGACTTCTGCCAGGGGCTCCATGTACAGGTGCTCTTTTTGCTCAAGTGGGAAGGTGGGCACCACGGAGAGAACTGGGTATGCGGTGCACTGGAAGTGGACAGCTAGGGGCTAGAAAAGGAAAAGGGAACGTCTGGCCCTGAACTTGGTAGAACAGCAGATCCTGAAAAGGTCATTATTTTGATCATCTTTCTACTTGGTATTTTAGATTCTGATAAATACACCAGAGAATTAAATAATTTTCTGTCCCTCCCCAAGTGCCTGCAGTGGGAGTAGCAGGTCTCTTGGGAATGTGGAGGTCAGTCTCTCCTCACCCTCAGCCTTCCGATGACTCAACTTTGGCCAGTTCTTTGGCCCCCTACTATTTTCCTTCTGCCCACCACGTCGCCCAATGCTCAAGAAGCATGCTCCTCCCCTGAGCCTGGTAAGCATACATGGCACCTGGCCTTCCCTGGCCTTGTAATTACAGCTAGTGCTTGCTTGGCATTCTGCACAGGGGGGTTGCTGATCTGTCCTTCTAGAAAATCTGCTGCAGAAGGATTCCATGACCAAACTCAGTAATTTTCTGTGCTGTGAAAGATACACAATTCATCCCTTATGAGTTATATCAGAAGTATAGGTTGGTTTATTTCTAATGTAATAAATTGACTCTGTCTTATAGAGCCTTAATGAGTTTATTTTATAATTCTGTTTTTGTTATAGCTATATAACTTTGTCATTGTTTAGCATTTCACTTAGTTACTCTCAACTCTTTTAGAATTGAGAAAAACATTTTAAAAACATTTTTGAAAACCATAATATGTTAAAAATTATTTAGGTAATCACAACTTCTTCTGTCCTGAATAAATTATCTTTTAATATCTATAACTTGTTTTCTTTTTAAGGTTCATTTTCAGCAAAAGAAGATGGCTAATGGCTTTTACTCTATGTGAATGTTGAACTGTCTGAGGAGTTTAAAATTGGTCGTTGTGGAAAAATAGAAAAAAGCAATATTTTTTTTTTTTAAAGTTTGGTTATATATGGATTGAGCATAGCTACAACAGGGTTTAGCACTGGAAAAAGCCATCAGGGAGCAAGACTTGAAACGTTGTTTCCAGTTTTTAAACCACTATAAATAGAAAAGATGCAAATGTGAATATTTATCAAGTTTGAGACTGAATTCTTGTCCTCACTAAGGTATTAAATGCAGATGATTTTATTTAATGATCTAAAGATGCCTCTGGTTTGAGCTCGCCTCTCACCTGCCATCCTGTCCCCCTCTAGGTGGTGGTCTGTCACGTGGTGGGCCAGTCCATTCAGTTCCTGCTGCATGTGGGGTCCGCTTCAGCTGTGGGTGCAGGGTGCCCCCTGTACGATGTGCAGCTCTCCCCATTTCACGTACAGGTAAAGTTGGGTAAATTTTGCAAGTCTTGGGAACAGCTCTCATAAACTAATAGGGTAAACCTGGTATCAGTTACAGGGCAGTTCTTTCTTACCTACCATTCATGTCCTGACATTCATTCATTTATTTATTTTCAACATCCAGAGGGTGTATGCACTCACCCAAGAGAGACAAAGAGACAGAGAGAGAAGGAGAGGAAGAAAGCACCCCCCAGTGGGGTATGGTCATGGTGCAGTCCCTTCTCCATTCTGTTGGGATATGGGGCACTTACACACATGTACTCAGTATGTTTCTCAAACTGCCAGAGCCAGAATTCAAACCATGAGGCCAGCCATATGGGATCTGCCTTAACCAGTAGGCTATGGGGCTGGCCCTTTCCTGATATGCAAACAATAAAGTTCCATATTACATTGTATGTGGAAAACATAAGAGTATGATACTCCCCCCCACACACACACACACACTAAATTAAGAGTTTTCCCTTTTAAGGCATTGAGTCCAAGGTGTAGATGGATAGGATAAGGTTAAGTGCCTCTGAGATGAGAAATGAGGCTCTGGTTCAGAGTCAGGCGCTGTAATTTATGTCTACAGTACCCTGGAACATAGCCAAGCATCTGGACTGGGGCATTCCTCTATTTAGTTTTCAAAAAAGTCAACTTTAATAAAACTTATGTAGGAACTGGAATAACAACAAAACACCCCAAAACACCAGGAGAAAAGAAATAATAAAGATTCAAGCAAAGATAAATGAAATACAGAATAAACAAACTATACAGAAAATAAATAAAACCATAAGGTGGTTCTTTGAGAAGATAAACAAAATTGACACACCATTAGCTAGACTAATTAAATAAAACAGAGAAAGGAACCAGATAAATCAAATCAAAAATGAAATAGGCAATATTACAACAGATATAACAGAAATGCAAAAGATCATGAATGAATGCTACGAGCAACTATACACTAACAAGCAAGAAAACCTGAAGGAGATAAACAAATTTCTGGATGCTTATAATCTATCAAAATTGAATCAGGAAGACATAGAAATTCTGAATAGATCAATAACAAGCAATAAGATTGAATCAGTAATAAACAGTCTCCCAATAAATAAAAGCCCAGGGGGCTCAACATAATAAAAGCCATATATGAAAAACCCATAGCTAACATCATACTGTATGGGGAAAAGCTGAAATTTTTTTCCTCTAAAAACTGGAACAAGACAAGGCTTCCAACTTTCTGTACTTTTTTTCAGTATAATGCTGGAAGTCTTAACCAATGCAACAGACAAGAGAATAAAATAAAAGGCATTCAAATAGGGAAATAAAAAGTGAAAATATCTCTGTTTGCAGATGACATGATTATATATATAGAAAATTTAAAAGAATCCTTAAAAAAATTCCTGGAAGTGATTAATGAATACAATAAATTGGCAGGATACAAAATCAATTTATATGCACCAACAATGAACAGACTAAGTAGACTTGAAGGAATCAATCCCATTTACAAGAGCCACAAAAACAAAAAAATACCTAGGGATAAACCTAACCAAAGAAGTGAAGGACCTCTAAAAGGAAAACTGTGAAGAATGAAAAAAGAAATAGAAAAAGATACAAAAAAGTTGAAAGACTTCCCTTGTTCCTGAATTGAAAGAATTAATACAATAAAAATGTCAATCTTACCCAAATTAATTTACAAATTCAATGCAATCCCAATCAAATTATTAGAGATATTCTTCATAGAATTAGAAAAAAATCATAAAATTTGTCCAAAATCATAAATGGCCCCATATTGCCAAAGCAATACTGAGCAAAAAGACTAAAGTAGGATCTCACTCCCTGACCTTAATCTGTATGGGAATATCTTGAATTGGACTTTGTATGCTGTAAAGATGACATTGATTAAATATTTTTTAAAAAAGAACTTATTATGGTTTTATAAGTTAAAAATTGGCATTCCATTATTTTTCAAATAAAAGACTTACAGCAAATGTAAGAGACATATATAATATATGTGATTACATGCATCATATATATATAATTTTATGTAGAGAGACTTATGTACCTGTAATAACCTTAGTAGTCTTAGATTTCTGCATGCCTGAATTGTCAGATAACTGTGCATCACTTACATGGAGCAAAATGTTTGCTGAAGCACTTATTTAGCCGGAATTTTTAAATGGACATTTCTAGGTCCAGCTGGTGACGTGGTGGTTAAGGCATTGTATTCCCACATGACCAACCATGACTTGAGTCCTGAACCCAGTGGCTTGGAAATCATGCTGAGCATGTGTGCATGCATGCCTAGAATCCTGAGAGAAGAATGGAGGAGAAGGGATTGTGGCATAGCCATCCTCCCTGGTGGGGGATGGGGGATTTCTTCTCTCTCTGTCACTGTGTGTCTCTCTCCAGGAAGTGGAGGGAGACATGCACCCTAGGGCAAAAACCTTTTTTTAAAAAAATGGACATTCCTGGGCCTCTTGTAGAGGTCCCTGACAGGTCAACCCACATTTTATCTCCTTTGTGCCTTATAGTCTAGTTACTTATATTCTAACTACTAATTTTTGGGGTCACATAATTCTCAATCACAAAGGAAGATGATATTCCATAAGCTTTTCTAAGAAAGCCTAATTTTAAATAACCAATGTCAACCAAGTTTTCTGGTACCTAAGTGGCTATATTTTGAACCCTCTGACCCTCCCACTCCATCCTAGTAACACTCTCTTTTAGGGAATTGACACAGTTGAGCATTGACCTCATGGAGTTCCCAGATGTTAACACTCTCCCATGACCTCCAAATGTTTTGTACTATGTGATTAGAAAATAGCCTTCAAAGTCATATTTATCCAACATTTGAAACCCATTTCAGAAGTGAATGACTCTAGAGAAGATTACAAATACAAACCAAAGAAATAATAGTTTCTAAGATTGCACCCATTGTATCAGAGTGTTCTTGCCATTTTAAGCAATTCAGGCAGAAACAGAATTTCATCTTTGATCTCTTAACACAGTCTAAAGCCAGTGTGTGGATCACTGCAGAGCTGAGGCAGCTGCTCGAGCCAGGAAGACCCCTGCTTTTCTGATCTTTGTCAGATCAAAAGTGCCAAAAGGTGCCAGCAATCAGTCTAGATGCCCTCCACACCTGCTTGGGGCAATGAGGGTAGGGGAAAACCTTGGTTACCTGGAATGAGATCAAAATACACTTCTTGGATTATTCAGAATTATAGGACAAGAAAACACGTGGTAGAAATGGTTCAGAAGTGGAAGTCGTCGTTTTTCTCTTACCCTGCATCTAGCATGGGGTAAGCAGCCTGAGAATTCAGATGGTCTAAAGCTGGTCTCTCCTGCCATTTTATGTGGTGGGTTGTTGGGGAGTGAAGATGTGAAAAATTAGAAATTTTTATTTAGAAAAAAGTATCTGGCTGAAATATAAAAGGTCCTCTATTAGTTTGCCATGGCTGTTGAAACAAATTATTAGAAATGTCACTTAAAACAGCAGATGGACCTTAAAACAAAACAAAACAAAACAAAACAAAACAAAACAAAACAAAACAAAAAAAACAGCAGATGGAGGTTAGATGTTGAGCACAGCCTGAAATCAAGGTGTTGTCAGGGCTGCCTCCCTTTGTGGAAATTCTAGGGGAGCATTTGTTCCCTTCCTGTTTGGGGGATGTTGGTAGAGTTCAGTTCCTTGGGGTGTACGACTGAGGTTCTGTTTCCCTGCTGGCTGGATGCTGAGGGCATTTCCAGCTGCTAGAGGCAACCTCATGGCATGTGTCTCCCCTCTTCCCACCCTGCAGTGGTAGTTCAGGTCCTAAAGACCAATGCTGGCCCTCTTTTCTGATTTTCTCTTCTATTTTTAAAGAATCATGTGGTTCCATGGGCTCACTTGAGGAACCAACATTGTCTCCCCATCTCAAGGTCCTTACCTTGGTCATACCTGCCAAGTCTCCTTGACCATGTAAGGTCACATATCTACAGGTTGCAGGGATTAGGGCAGGACATCTTTGGAGGCCACTGTTCTTTTTTTTCTTTTTTTTGAGAGGTTTATGCTATAGGGCGCGTGCGCTCGCCAGACAGACAGAGAGAGACATAGAGACAGAAAGCGAGAAATCACCCCCCAGGGGGGATGGTCACGCCGCAATCCCTTCTCCTCCATTCTCCTCTCGGGATCTTGGGCACGCACGCACATGCGCCTGGCTTGAGTTCTAAGCCACCGGGTCCGGGACGCGAACCATGGTCGACTACGTGGGAGTCCAGCGACATAGCCATTACACTAACTGCTGGTTCCTGGAGGCCACTGTTCTAATTCACAGATAGGTAGGACTGGATGAGGCATTATTAGAGTTCATGGTTGCTGTAGTGGCCCAGGCAAGAGATGGTGAGGATGCCATTACTGTCTGTACACTATCTTCAGGGAATGCATGAGCATGGGGTGGGAAAGTCAAGTCCAAGGGCAGGGATAAGGCCTCCTGGGTCCAGACTATTACCCCCTTCTCCTTAATGCCTTGGTGATACTCCTACAAAAAAGAAATTCCAAGCACTACAACTTATTAACTTGCAGGGTTTTATGACATCTGGCCTTTAGCCACCAATACTGATGTTCCTCTCAGAGTGGTAACTTGAGGCAGAGGAAGGTCCTGGAAAAGGGAGATTAAATGGAGTATGGGGTCTTCCTTTCCATTTTGAAGCACATACTATGCCTAGGGGGAGACTAAGTGATAATCTCTGAAAATAAGTGAATAAATAAATGTACCCCATGTGGATACATGCACACACACACACATGCACACACGTATGCACACACATATGCACGTGTGCATGTATACACACACACACACACATACATTAAGGCTCTGGTAGGGAGTGCAGCCCTTCAGTAACCTCTGTTTTTCTTTAATAGCTGGAGCTTTACCTGAGAGAAAAGCGAGAAGACATCCAGATTAGGTGGTCCTTTGTCACTGTGCCAGAAATGGCCCTGAAGATCCAGCCCAGAGCCCTGGGGGAGGTCAGTCCGTAAGTTTTCATAATTTTTCTGCTGTGAGAATATGTGTGTGAAAACACAGGCGTGAAGACAGTGGGGCTGGGGCCGAGGCTCAGAGCCACGCAGCTCTGTTGGCAGCCTTCTGCCCCATGCCTAGCTGCCTTCGCAGAGTGATATGGCCGTGTGAGATGTGAGCTGGGCCTTTTGGCTTGCCAGGACACTGTTAGGGACTAGGTGAGTAGACCCAGTGTAGGGTTTTCAACCCAAGCTGCACTGACTCCAAAGCCCCCAAACCAAATGTATGTTTAATTGGATGGAAAATTTTTAAGCATTCATAAGCAGCCCAGGGTTCCCCTGACATCCTGTGTGGCTTGTGATCAGATGCTCTCTCCTGTACGTGAAGGGCTTCACTCACAACTCAGGCACAGTCCGGAGGCAGTTTCCAAGGGTAGGGCCTCCTTTGTTTGTGGTTTTTGCAATGATGTATCTAAAATCTGAAGGTAAGTGAGATACTTCTCACTTCCCGTGGGCTTAGGTGTTTGGAGAGGTGAACTTGGGAGCTGTGAGTGGGCACACGGAGCCCAGTTGTGGAGTCACTTGCTGGAAAAATCATGCAAAAATGATATATGCTGAAGTTATTAGGTTATTCTTTCCCAGTGGCTTTTGTATTTCCTTATAATTTTGCTCCATTGCAGATTCTAGTTTAATTACTGAGGTATCACTACAGTGAAATAAGTGAGGTTAATAGTTTGTCTGCATACACCCCCACCTATCTTTTTAAAAAATGTGGTGGGGGGAGGGTGTTGTTGTTGTTGTCTTAGTTTGCTAGAGGACATATGTGCTCACCGAAGCACATACTATGCCTAGGGGGAGACTAAGTGATAATCTCTGAAAATAAGTGAATAAATAAATGTACCCCATGTGGATACATGCACACACACACACATGCACACACGTATGCACACACATATGCACGTGTGCATGTATACACACACACACACACATACATTAAGGCTCTGGTAGGGAGTGCAGCCCTTCAGTAACCTCTGTTTTTCTTTAATAGCTGGAGCTTTACCTGAGAGAAAAGCGAGAAGACATCCAGATTAGGTGGTCCTTTGTCACTGTGCCAGAAATGGCCCTGAAGATCCAGCCCAGAGCCCTGGGGGAGGTCAGTCCGTAAGTTTTCATAATTTTTCTGCTGTGAGAATATGTGTGTGAAAACACAGGCGTGAAGACAGTGGGGCTGGGGCCGAGGCTCAGAGCCACGCAGCTCTGTTGGCAGCCTTCTGCCCCATGCCTAGCTGCCTTCGCAGAGTGATATGGCCGTGTGAGATGTGAGCTGGGCCTTTTGGCTTGCCAGGACACTGTTAGGGACTAGGTGAGTAGACCCAGTGTAGGGTTTTCAACCCAAGCTGCACTGACTCCAAAGCCCCCAAACCAAATGTATGTTTAATTGGATGGAAAATTTTTAAGCATTCATAAGCAGCCCAGGGTTCCCCTGACATCCTGTGTGGCTTGTGATCAGATGCTCTCTCCTGTACGTGAAGGGCTTCACTCACAACTCAGGCACAGTCCGGAGGCAGTTTCCAAGGGTAGGGCCTCCTTTGTTTGTGGTTTTTGCAATGATGTATCTAAAATCTGAAGGTAAGTGAGATACTTCTCACTTCCCGTGGGCTTAGGTGTTTGGAGAGGTGAACTTGGGAGCTGTGAGTGGGCACACGGAGCCCAGTTGTGGAGTCACTTGCTGGAAAAATCATGCAAAAATGATATATGCTGAAGTTATTAGGTTATTCTTTCCCAGTGGCTTTTGTATTTCCTTATAATTTTGCTCCATTGCAGATTCTAGTTTAATTACTGAGGTATCACTACAGTGAAATAAGTGAGGTTAATAGTTTGTCTGCATACACCCCCACCTATCTTTTTAAAAAATGTGGTGGGGGGAGGGTGTTGTTGTTGTTGTCTTAGTTTGCTAGAGGACATATGTGCTCACCAGAGAGAGAGAGAGAAAGGGAGAGAGAGACAGAAAGGGAGCAAGAGAGAGAGAAAGTGCGAAAGTACTCCCAAGAGGGGATTAGCCATGCCACGTTTCCTTTTCCTCCATTCTCTTCTTGGGATTTTGGGCGCATACATACATGCACCTGGTGTGTTTTTCAAGCCACTGAGTCTAGGATACAAACCATGCAGTCACCCATAATGGATCCAGCCACATTAACCACCATGCCACTGACTGGCCCAACAACGGGAAGGAGTATTTTTGACAGAATCTCACAGTTGCTTCTTCTGCCTCCCCATTAACTAGGATTGGTGGTCCCTGCTACTGCGCCCAGCCTGTTTAGGTTGGTCTGGGACCCAAACCCAGGCATCCCATGTGGCCATCTTGTGCAGCAGCACCCTACTGTTTGTGCCATTGTGGCTGGACCATGACAATAAATATTGAACTTTCATGCCTTTATATAGATGCATGCAGTGAGATTTTTTATTTCATTTTTTTGTTTGATTTTTTTGTTTGATTTTAAGTTTGAATTGTACTTTTAAAACTTGCATACATACAAAATTGTATGTATACAATTTGTACCTGACGATTTATTTACATAAAGTATGTGTCCTAAGTATTTTCCCAGTCCTCAATGTATTTCCTTTATCTTCTTCCTTTCCATATTTGCATCTCCTTTGATCCACAATGGCATCATTGGTTCAGGCCTTCGATATGCTCAAAACAGTTTGGCAATTGCTTCACACCACCGCTGACATCCAACCTAGCAAAGCTTAGGATTGCTCTACTGAACTTTTTGTCAGAATGTATTCACAAGGTAGAGTTCTCTGTTCAAAAATTATTTGAATTAATTTTTTTCTCTGTGTGGCCGTGTTACCAATTTGATGATCATTAAGTTTGTTTACATCTGTTATTATTCAGTTTTAGGTTTTAATCTTCCCATCTTGGTTGTCTTACATGTGTTTTTGATTATGTAAAACTATCAGTGTGATTTAAAAGCCAAATCTCCATGCAAAGTTATACTCTGAAGTCCTGTCTTTCTTCCCCCATCCACTTCTGCACATGGCAACCTGTGTCATTAGTTTTTGTCTATCCATTGTGTGTTTCTCTGCAAAAATGCTCTATTCTCCCTTTCTCACCCAAAGGGTGGTATGCCTGGCACACTCTTTACATCTTTCCTGCCCTTCTCACTCCCTAATACCCTACACATTTCTCTGACCATTGGTGAGAAATGGGGCTTTCCCAGTGAAGATAACTCTGGAATTAAGTTAGTCCCATAACTGGCCTAGTAGGCTGGTGACAGACCCTACAGACTCTAGATGGATACAGATGGTATAGGGAGATGGGCAGGGAAGGAACTGGAAGGAAGCTTGTCAACATAGCTACTCTGATCTCAAATGTGGTGAAACCTGACATTTTAGTGCTGCGAAGCTCATCTGTTACCGTGGGCTTCCTTCTCTGTCAAGTGAAGAAATTGTGTAGGTCAGAAAAAATAAGTAGATAAAAACTGTGGTATATCCCTACAATGAAATATTACTCAGCCATGAAAAGGAATGAAGCATTGATCTATGCCACAGTGGGAGTGACCTAGAAGACATGATGCCAAATAAAAAGAGCCAAATGCAAAAGACCACATACTGTATGAATCCATTCATATGAAATGTCCAAATGAGGCAAGTCCATAGAGACAGAAAGCAGGTTAGTGATTGTCAGGGCCTGCAGGAGACAGACATGGATGGGGAGTGTCTGTCTATGGGTAGAGGGTGTAGTGTTTACTTGGGAGGAGTGGTGACATGTTGAAACGTGATGTCAGTGGTGGTTGTACAACATTATGAATGTCTTGAATATCCCTGAAATGTATCATTGAAACTGGCTAGCTTTATGCCATTTGGATGTTACTTCATTTTAAAAATTAGCTATCAAGGACCTATTCGAGAGAGGTAATGGCATAGTTGTTAAAAGCACAGACCCTGGAGCCTCAGCCGCTGGACTTGACTCCCAGCTCTACTAATGAGGAGCTATGTGACCCCATTCCTGTTAATTAACGTCTCTGTATCTCCGTTTCCTCATCTGTGAGATGGAGATAATGATACAAGATGGTTACAAGGATTAGATGAGTATGAATGCAGATACGTACATAGACTCAAGTCAGGCTCATGGGAAAAGCATGTAAGCATCAGCTATTTCCGTCACTAATATATTAGAGTTCCAGGCCCATAGGTGGTATGAAGGTTAAGACACTGGATCCTACATGGCAAGCTGCATGGTTCAAATCCCAGACCCAGTGGCTTAAAAATTTGGGGCTGCATGCAAGTGTATTATGCATGCTCAAAATCCTGCAAGGAGAATGGAGGGGAAGGTATTGCATCTCCCCAGCCACCACCACCACCACCCCACCCCGCAGGGAAGTGATTTCTCTCTTTCCTTTTCTCTCTGTTCTCGTCGCTCTGATGAATGCACATGCTTTATAGCAAAAACTTAAAAGAAAAAAAATTACTTTAAGAGTTCATGGCAGAGAGTAGAGTTCAGTGAGAGACAGATTGGGCCTGTGTTTGCTGTAGAAAGACCTGGCAGGGCAGAATCAGGCTAGCCGTGCCCTGCAGACAATGCAGACTGAGCTTTAGATGGATTTCTGAAAGCCTGTCCAGCCCCCTAGTGAGCAAGTTCTCAGTAGGTCTGAAGCCCTGATGGACTTGGGCACCTGGAAGTGTCCTGACCCCCTGGATAGGCTGGGGTGGTTGGAGCTCTCACAGTGAGGGCATTTAGAGCCAAGGGGAAGGAACTTGAAGGACAGGGACACCGCAGGGCCCTTGAGCTGCCCAGAAGAAAGCAGCAGTGACATGAGGGACCCTGAGTCTTGGCAGACACTAGCTCCATGGCAGCTGCTCTCTCCAGAACCGTGGAATGTGTGAATACCAACGCAGCGAGAAATTGTTCATCCAGTCCTGCTTTCGAGAGGATTGTAGTGTGGCTATACCCCTGGGGGGGGAGTGATTTCTCACTTTCCCTCTCACTGTCTCTCTCTCTCTTTCTCTCCCTAGCAAGTGCACATGCCCTAAGGCAAACTCTCTACAAATACGTATATGTATATATTTCATAGAGAGAGTTAGAGAGAGACAGACAGATAGGCATCCCCAACAGGGTGTACCATGGTCTAGTTCCAGTCTTAGACAGAATGTGCCTGGTATACACGGGAAGACCTCAGGACAAGAACCCTGAACTTCCCACATAACCTCAGCATCATGGAGCATTGTCATTATTGCTGTGCTGGGACTGGCTGAAGTTTTAAAAAATAGATCCTGCTTGCTAAAAAATTGTATTGAGATATAATATTTATGAAGCGCATGTATCACTGAGTATCAGGTACCCAGCTCAAGAAACAGAATGGTATCCACTCCCCAGGGAGCCCCCTGTGCCATTCTACCCACTGCTTAACCCCCGACCCTCGACCCCCCCCAGGGTGACTGTGATCCTGACTTCTGGTGCCTTGCTGTGTAACAAGCCCACAGGCCTGACAGCTGGAAGCCACAGGTACTTATTGCCTCTTAGTTTCTGGAGGTCAGGAGTCGGGTTCAGCTTAGCTGGGTCCAAAGGTGAGGGTCACAAGCCTGCAATCCAGGTCTCTGCTAGGCTGCACTGTTTTGGGGAGCTCACCGTACTCTTTCAGGCTCATGTGATCGTTGGCAAAATGCAGCCCTGTGGTTGCAGGACTGAGAGCCTCAATTTCTTGCTGGCTGTCAGCCGGGGCTGCCCTTCCTTTCATGGGAGCCAACTTCTTCACAGCCCACTGGAGAATCTCGCACTCCAGTGGGCTAGAAGGGGGCCTTGTACAACTTGCCCTTTACCATTGGTTAGAAGCACATCACAGGCCCACCTGCATTCAAGATGAGGTGCACTTCAAGGGCAGGACTCATCAGGCTACCCTAGAATTCTGCCTGCTACAAACAGCAAAGATTAGTTTCACCTGTTCTTACACTTTCTATAAAGCACTCAAATAGTATGTGCCTGTCTGTTTTGGGCTTCTTTCCCTCAATGCTATGTCCGTAAGTTCCATCTGTGTTGTTACGTGGAGTTGTATGTCACCTGTTCATGGCTGTGTGCACTCCAAGGTGTGGCTGCACAGTTTAGAAACCCATTTAGCTATTGATAGAGTAGCGTCCTGGTTCAGGCTGTTGTACACCTTAGCCATCTGTAATGGCACAGCAACAGCATGGTGCTCCATGTGCCGAAATCTATGGGAAGGTCCCAGGTTCATACCCTAGGGATGTGCCAAGTGTACATGTGTGTGTTCATGATCCTAGCAGACTGGGGCTGGAGGAACATTGAGGGATGAAGACCCTGTTGGAGATCTCTCTCTCTCTCACTCCCTTGTGGAAGACATGAATAAATACACACTAAGACAAAAGTGAAATACCATAGGCTAGAGGGGCGGGCTTCTAAACAACAGAAATTTTACTTCTCACAGTTCTGGAGACTAGAAGTTCAAGATCAGGGCGCCAACTTGGTAAGGTTCTGGAGAGGACCCTCTTCCAGGTAGACTGACATTCATGTTGTATAGTTATTTCTTTTTAGATTTTTTTTTTTTTTGCAATGAGTATGAATTACTTCTGAAATCAGTAAAATGACCTGCCCTCCCAGCTGGTAATGAGGGAGTGTCTCAGCTGTCCTGTCCTGATCTGAGAGCAGAGTCCCAGAGGGCAATAAGAGGCATCGCCCTCACATCGAATTACGATGAAGAGATTGAGAGTTTGCCTGTCATGGTGCATAAGCACTTGGTTATGGGATGATCTGGTGACTGTTTCCTCTTTCTAGGACCCAGTGGTTGAGACAAACGTGATCTCTGAAGTTCTCAAGGACATTTTGAAGCGTCTGGTTAGTTCAGCCTCCCCCTCAGTGGTTCTGAGCAGCAGGCCTGCAGACGTCAAGGAGGTTCAGGTAAACCTGTTTGCAGCTCATGGGTATTTCTGAACCCTGTTAAGAGTCATGCCTGCCCCTGTGCATTTTCTGTGTTCCTCTACCTTCTCCAGTGAACTGAGGTTGCAAGAATGCCTGCTGATGGATGTGGGCCGTGGGAATGGGATGAAGCCTCAGGTTTGGAACTCAGAGCTCCAACATGCTATGAGTTGAGAGGGGGAGCTTGCAGGGCCTTTGTAGCACAGTCTTGGTCAGGCCCTGGTCCTCCACTTTCTAAGAATCAAAGCTTTCTTTTCACTGTCCACTCAGAGCCTGCTCTCTGGGACCTCACCATTCTGGGTTTGATCTACCTACACATCACATGAACAAAGAGGATGCTGCTCCAGAGCACGTGGAGCCAGGTGTGCTGGGCGAACTGAGACTGTTTAGTCTGGGCTGATGACCTGGCCCCACCTGCACCAGCCTCTGCTCTGGGAGCCTATCTCCTTTGGGAGTGTAGGGCAAAGAAGGCCAGCATCATCTGTTCCACCCTTTTCCATAGTGCCTGCCTCCCTCCCCATTCTGAGGCCACTCTGCACTGTCTAACTAGGGTGCTGCTGATTTCTCTCTTTAAATTCCTGTCCAGAGCATTTGCCCATGCTTAGGGTTGATGTAAACTATCAAGAGCCCTTTGCTTAAGGCGGCTGATGGCCATTGTAAGCTGATCTTGTTATGATGGTTAAGTAAAACAGGCACTTTCAGTCCCTCAAACTTTAAAAAGATTTCTACTGGCAGTGATCTTATATGGTATGGTAGACCATCCATCTTTATTATATGAGGGGTTTGCTTCAGAAAGTTCACGGAAATAGAATTAAAGTACAACTTTATTTTGGTGGAAAATCCAGGTATTTTTGTTTGTTTTGGTAATACTAATTTTCCATTAACTTGTTGAAGACCCCTTGTATAGTTCTTGATGAAGTCAATTTGAAAATGTAACTTTATGTGATTTGTAAGGTACAGGTTCTTGGTCTGGTTCATACTTGGGAAGGTTTCACCAACTGTCAGTATATAGTATCTAGAGACTTTGATTATTGGACAGATATCAGCTGATTGCTGTGTTTTGTGTGGCTCTGGACATGGGGGCTCATACAGATATGAACAATCATTTTGAACAGGACTGGTCTGTTGTCTGTGACTAAAGGGAGCTGGATCCCACATGGTCAATTATGGTTTAAATCTGGCCCCACAGGCTTGAGAGACATGCATGTGATGTATGCCCAAATCCTAATGGAATAGGGAAATGGAGGAGAGGAAATTGTTGTGTGATACCCATTGTAGGGTGCATTTTCCTTCTCTTTATCTCTCTGCTTTTCTCTGGGGAATGTATATGCTTCTGACAATTAAAAGAAAACAAGGGAAGAAACTGTGTTTACCCTCTTGATAGTCACAAGTCAGCAAGGGCAGAAGGGCAGGACTCATAAGAAGCTCAGGGATATTTGTGCAGTTTCCTAGGGCAGGGTGGAGGCTTGGCCTCCCCATCGATAGAGAATCAGACTGTGTCACCAGAAAGTAGCGGCCCTTGTCCACCAGAAAGTGACAGCAGAGTCCAAGCAGCAGAGGTGACTCTTGATTACTTTGAATATGACAGTAAGTTTTTAATGTCAAAATTTGAGAAACTTCATAAATTAGTAGTATATTTCTAGAATCCATGGAATTAAACAAATAAAAGGCACCCTGTTGACGATAATGTATATGGTAATATCTTTGACTTGACTGATATGCATGCTGGGAAGACCAACTTTGAATACTGTAAAGATGAACAATGATTAAATGTAATTTTTTAAAGTAAGAATAAAAAAATAAACAAAAGGACCAAAACTACCTTAGATTCAATAATGCCTTCAAATAAATTTGGGAAGTTTCTCAAAATGGCACATGTATTGTGTCAGAGTTCACTACAGAAACAGAATAAATATAATATACATATGTGTACTTTATACACACACACACACACACACACACACACACACATACACATATAGTCACCCTTTCTACTGTGGGTGGGCTTTATTTTATCAGTTGAAGGCCTTAATAGGAAGAAAGGGCTGCTCTGCAAAAAATGCATCTTGACTTTCCTGATAACCCAGTAATTTATTATAAGGAGTTAGTTCACATAATTTTGAATGCTAGAAAGTCCAAAGATCTGCATTTGGCAAGCTAGATACCCACAAGAGCTGACGGTATAATTCTAGTCTGTCTGATGCCTAAGACCCATGAGAGCCAGTGGTATAAATTCCAATCCGAAGTCTGGCAAGCCCCAGACCCAGGAAGAGTTGATATTTCAGCTCAAGTCTGAAGGCAAGAAAAGACCAACATCCCAGCTCAAGGCAGACAGGCAGGAGTAATTCATTATTGCTCAGGGAAGGGTTGATCTTTTTGTTTTATTCAAGCCTTTAGTTGATTAGATAAAACCCACCCATATTTGCTTTACTTATTGTATTGATTTACTCAAACTTATCCAAAAACACCTTCACAGACTCACCTGGAATATTGTTCGACCAAATATCTGGGTACCCTGTGGCCTAGTCAAGGTGACACAAAATTATAATAATATCACACACATACAGTTGAAAATATTTCATCTCTCTACCAGACATGTGGATTACTCTGTCCCCAGTGCTCATGTCCCTGGAATCTGAGGACTTCTGCAATGATTTCTTGGCTTCCTGGCACCCTCAGCTCCCAGTTGAAAATGTCTCATTCAGAACTGTACTGTCTAGATAATTACCTTCAAAACTCTAGTGTCACTTGAGATGTCAGGAAGCATTCTGAAAAATGGCATTCAGGTCAAATCATCACTCAGGATCTCTGCCTAGGAGGTTTGTATTGCCCAGAGGCCCATGCCACCTTTGAGAAGCCTGCCCAGATTCCCAAGGGTTTCCAATGAAAAGAGCCCCCTTTAAAGAACACCTACAGAAATGAGTGAAAGGTGGAAATGAGTTTGGGAAACATTGGTTTGAAAGTGGGGACCTCTTGATTGGGGGTTGGTTTCTACTAGAAAGGCCCTGATGCCTATATGAGGACTTGATGAGAATGAAGCTGGTCTCTGCTGCTAGAGTTCTGTAGATACTTAGATTATCACCAGGTATTTAGATATCCCTCATACGCATGTTGGACTCTGCCTTAAGGGTGGGACATGGTCATCAGCTGTTGGCCCTGACTGGTGACCACTCAGTACCAGTGGGCACTGGGCCCCCTCAGCCTGATGAGATTGTCCTCACTCTCCAGCACCTGTGAGTGTGTATTGTAGCCAGCTGTACCCCAGTCTCCTCCTGCAGTGGCAAGTGGGGAGCCCTTTGGCCAGATGTGTTGCTGCTTGCACTCGTTACGTGGAGTAGAGATGGCTCCATCAGGGGAAGGGGATATGGCTCATTGTACCCTCTCTTCCTCTAAGAAGAGAACATTGCTACAGAGCAGGCCACAGAGCTCAGGTGGTCCTAGGTCTCCCCCAGCCACTGCTGTTATTTTTTTTTTTTTTCAGAGTTTACAGTGCACCTCTTCTACTGCTCAGGAATCCTGTCCTCCTAAGCCTCCAAGGCTTCATGAATTCAAGTTACTGGTGAGGAATATCCGAGCTTCGCTGCTAAATGATCCTGGTGCTTCAGGTGGGTGTTGCAGGCACACAGGGATGGCCTGCCTGAGCACAGTGGAGAGACTGCCTTGACCTCTCCTGTGGTACCCCTCCTTTAGATCTGCAGCATGATCCCTGCCTTCGTTCAGGAAGAACACCTAGCAAACATAACAGTAATGCCTGACAGTTAAAAATCCGATCCAGTATTTGCATGCATGGAGGCCAAGGGAAGAAAGGAAAAAGATTATTTTTTTGCCTTTTTTCTTTAATCTAGTAGATTCCTTTCTATTTGTCCTTTCTTCCTTAACTTCTTTCTTCCCTCTCTCTGCCTCCCTTTTTTCTTTCCTTCCTTATTCCTTCTTTCACTATTGAACTATAAGGACATACTTATTAAGCACCCCTGAACAGCGTGACTCTTCCGTTTATCTAGAGAGGGGGGACTGCATGCACGGTGGAGGGGGTGTCCCAGGGCTTTGGGCACCTGGGGACTCCGTGGTTCTAGGAAGCAGTGGCTACACTTAGGGTGAATACAGAAGTGCTGTGGGATGGAGAGCCCTTGGTGGGTGACTAGACTCATTGCTGAGGTCCCAGAGGTAGGGCCCCCAGGAGAACACACATCTCCTCAGTGGGACTCAGTTTTGCTAAGAATAGGGGTGAGCTCTTTTTAGGTGTGCAAGAATGTTAGGGGTACTTGGTGTTTATGTGTGAGGGGTTTGTCCCAGGTCCAAAAGCGCAGGCTGGTCACCTTGGCAACTGAAACTTGTTTTAAAGCCAGTGGGAGATGGTTTTCTGGTTAAAAAAAAAAAAGTGCTTTTGTGTTGCCCTTTGGGCTTATCCTACACTACTGAAAATGGTGTCTGTGGACTTAGTTGGCCAGGATCTGGCATCTGCTGTGACACCAGGTGTTGTCCCTCATCTTGGAAGGATGTTGCACCCTCTATCCCATTCCACCCCTTTCTGGGTTCTAGTCTTATCTTGAAGGATGATTGAGAAGCTAAGTAAGACAATGCATGTAGAGTACTTAACCCTGCCTGGTACTTGGTAAAGGGGTAAAACACTAGCGATTACTGATCACATAGTATATTCTGGACTCTGCCATAGAGTTAGGGAGTGGGGGGGTTCAGAACATTGCCTCAAAGCAGAAACCACTACTCACTAGTGAAATATCCTGGTATTTAAACCCAATGCCCGAGAGAAGTTCTTTGAGCTGAGTTAGACAGATAATGGGAACACATAACTGTTCAAAGTAGGGAAAAGAGGTCTTTGTGAGAAAGCTCCAGATTTAGGAGTCATCCCAAATATAAGTCTAGACTTAAACTAGCCCTTTCTTTGACAAGACAATAGTCTTTCCTAAAAGTGTGGCCATATCTCTGCATGTAGCGGTGTTGCCTCCAGGTGAGGATCCCCCAGTAGATGCCTTAGGACTGAGGGGAGAAAGTAGGGGTGCTTAGAGTCAGTCCAGGGCTGTTAACGTCAAGTACAGAAAAAAGTTCTTCAACCCCAGTGAAGTCCATTGCTTTGAGAATTTGTAAATAGCAAATGAAAGAAAGGCCCCTCAGAAGTGGGTAAGCCAAGAACTTAGTTATTTAATTTATCCTTTATATATGCAAACAATATCTTAATATAATTAAAAAACAAAAAGCAAAGCCAACCTGGTATCCCTTTATTTAATTAGGCAACATTAACCTGGTGTGCACAGCTCAGCTGAATGACCCTGTTCAAAGGTTCTCAAGCACCCTACCCAGAAACACTACCGACCTCACTTGGGAAGAAGAATTCACCTTGTGAGTACAGCTGGGTTAGCAAGGGTTGGGGTTTCCACAGCTGTAATTATTCAAGAGCACCTAATCCTGAAGTCATTTCATATCACTATTTATACCAAAAAAACCCTGTTTTTTAAGCATCTTAAAGGTAAGTTTAAGTTTAAGTCAACCATGGATTGCTTTTTCTTTTTTAATTAAATTAAATTAAATTAAGTTAAATTAAATAATTATTATTCTTCAATTAGACCAGAGAGAGACAGAGAAGGAGAGTAAGAAAGCATGCCACCAGGTCCAGGACTTGAACTTGTGGTCGGCCACTAGGGAGTCCAGTACCTTAACTACCATGCCACCTGCCAGTTCCAAGAATGGATTGCTTTTTTAAAAAATTTTTGCTATATGGCACATGTGCTTACTAGAGAGACAGAGACATAAAGAAATCACCCCTCCAGGGGGAATGGCCATACAGCAATTCCTTCTCCTCATTCTCCTCTAGGGATTAAGGTATGCACACACATGGTGTAAGTTTCTAGCTAGCTGCTGGGTTTGAGACTCGAACTGGGGTCAACCAGTGGGAGTCCAGTGCCTTAACCACTAAGCCACCTGCTGTCCCATGGATTTCTTTTTAAAGGTAGTTCCTAATATCAATTTTCTTTTCATGCCCTGTTATGAGAAAAAGAACTGCTGTTCTGAATCCTACATGACTAACTATATGGTTTGAGTCCCAGAACCAGTGACTTGAAAAACACAGTCCCCCCTGCCTTAGAAATAGATATTCAGCTCAGAACAGAAGGAAACTTCTGATCATATCGGACTCTGATAAGGAGAATAGAAAAAGGGAAAAGTATAGACCACTTATAAACACTGAAGTAAGGGGGCCAGCAAATGGCATGGTGGTTAAGGCACTGGACTCCCACCCCCAACTACACAGTTTTGAAAATACACAGGGTGTGTGTGCATGCATGTCCAAAATCCCAAGAGGAGAATGAAGGAGAAGGGATTGTGATATGGCCATCCCCCGGAAGGATGATTTCTCACTTTTCCTCTCTCTCTCTTTCTCTGTCCAGCAAGCACACCTACCCTATGGCAAAAACCTAAAAAATACATATATACATACATACATAAATTATTATCAAATAGAATCTAGTAGCATTTTTTTAAGTTTATTTATTTATTTCACATGACAGAAAGTGAAAGACAAGCACTCTCAACAGGATCTCATGTTGTGTTTGCTGCCCTCCAGACTTCTCAGTCAGCTAGAATTACAAGCACATGTGACCCTGATCTTCCATATGGCTTCCAGCATCACAGAGTATTGCACTACTGCTGTACCATCTTAACTGAGTCTACTAACACATTACAAATAAAACCACTGAGTTCATATCAGGAATGTAAGGAAGGCTTAATGTAAGTATCTACAATATTAAGGAAATTCACTGTACACTAGATCAAAGGAGAAAATATAAACTTTAGCCCAAAAGATAGTCTATAACATTTAGTACCCATTTCTAATTAAAAAAAAACTTAACAAGAACAAAATTTGTGGATGCTTCTTTAATAAGTTTAAAAAATTTTTAAATGGTAAGTATCTTTCACTAAAGAGAAAGATACTCATTGTTCTGTTTTAGACATACTGATCAATGCAATAAGATAAGAAAAAGAAATAACATACAAATAATAGAAAAGAAGAGGCAAAGCTCATTGTTACTTGGAGACATTTTTGCATATCTGGACTACTCAAGAAGTCAACTAAAACTACTGAAAAATAATAATGGATATAGCATAAAATAATAAATAATATTATAAAAACTAATAGACATAATAATTTAGTAAAGTGGCTAATTTAAAAAAAATACAGAAGTCAACTGCTGTCTGATGTTTAAGCAATAAAAAATTAGAAAATGATAATTGAAGAAAACATCCTTTGGTGTGGTGTACATGAGAGGGCTTCAAAAAGTTCGGGACCAGCAGTTAGCGTAATGGCTATGTCGCTGGACTCCCACGTAGTCGACCGCAGTTCGAGTCCCGGACCCGGTGGCTTAAACTCACGCCGGGCGCGTGTGCGTGCGTGCCCAAGATCCCGAGAGGAGAATGGAGGAGAAGGGATTGCGGCGTGGCCATCCCCCCTGGGGGGTGATTTCCTGCTTTCTGTCTCTCTGTCTCTCTCTGTCTGTCTGGCGAGCGCACGCGCCCTATAGCAAAAACCTCTCAAAAAAAAAAAAAAAGTTCATGGTAAATGGAGTTAATTTATTAATTTATGTTTGTGCAAATTTTTTTTTAAATCTATACATAGTTTTTTTCACGGTATACATTCCCATGAGCTTTTGAAGACCCCTACATGCACATATAATAAAGAGCTTTTATAGGGCCAGCCAGTGGGTGGTGGTTAAGGCAGATCGATCCCATATGACCAACCATATGGTTAGAGTTCCAGACCCGGCGGCTTGAGGAACACACTAGGTGCGTGTGTGTGCATGCCCAAAATACTAAAAGAAGAGAGAAATAGAGAAAGGATTTCAGTGTGAACATGCCCTTTAGGGGTGTTTTCTCACTTTCCCTCTCTCTGTCTCTGGTGAGTGAGTGCATGTACCATCTGGCAAAATGTTTTTTTTTTAATTTTATAATCATTAATGAAAATATTAACATTTCCTTAGAAAATTGGACATAATATCCAAACTGAGAAGGCAAAAGTAAGAACTATAGATCGTATCAAACTTCTGAAAAGAGGTTCAATTTCAGAAATAATTAAAGTAATACAGACTTACATAAAAGAGAGAGGTCATTCTTCACTTTATTTTATTTATTTATTTATTTTTTTTT